AATGTTACACACTGGATATTTAAGACTAGGGGAGAGAGAAAACAACAAAATACATACAGGGTTGTCATTGGATGTTTGGAATCAGAGGGGCTACTAGTGATAGGTAGAGGTCAGGTAGGTTGGGCCTGTTTGTCCCTACCCTACTGCTGGTCTACTTCAATATTAAACCAAAACCACAATATTTTCCTAACTTTAACCAAGTGCGGTGGGTTGCCTAAACATGACCCGACCAAATAAAGAACAGCTATAGTTAAGTCAGTAAACATATTGCAGATACATTCTGTATGAAGCTTTCTGCGACTTGTCAGATATGTTCACTAAAAATGTGTTTGCTGTTGCAAAGTAGTTTTATATAAACGGAATTTCTAGGAGACAGAGTTGAATGAAAAAAGGACAAAAAGCAATAGAAAGACCCGGTAATTGCAGTGAATGGACACTGAGTGAGAGAAAGAATGAGACATTTGGTGTTCAAATGAGACTGGGAGCAGAGCCAGAGGAGTCCTTCATAACGTAACACAGCAACACTTACAGCCAAAAGAGCACCAGACCGTAGCAAACCGGGCCAAACCAGGTCAAATTATGCCAGAAATGGGCCAAAAATGGGCAAAGTGCACAAAAAAATACCGGGAATGAACAGAAATACCCTGTGTTGAAATGGACCACACACATTTAAGCTCTCTCTTTTTTCAGTCTATCAGACACACACAGATGGATGGTTAAATGTTGTTATTGAGAGATAAATTACCATGAATTCAGATGAGCTGGAGTTTCTTTCTTTGCTTAGTGCGTTTGCATTGTGTTGGTTTGAATGAGCTGTGATTACTGAATCACATGATACGACTATTTGAATAACCAAACATGGCCACAGCTGAACAAAGGCCCTAATGAGACCAAAATAAGGGAAAAACTGTCCTTGTAAATCTTGATTAAACTCAACAGAAAACAGAAAAGAACTCCTTCAGCTTTTGTAATGTTACTGCTTCTGTTATACCTGTTTTTGATAATTTTTTTTAAAAGGCAAAGGTTTTCTTTCCCTCCTCCCCCTCCATCCTTCTCTCTCTCCAATTGGTTTTGTAACCCTCTCTCTCTCCTCCTCAGGTCGGGGAAGACGTGCCGGATGCCAGGAAGTGTGCCTGTGCCAGCCATGTTGCGACCATCGCTGACTTCTTCCAGGTCAGACCCACCATGGTACCAGTACATATTCCTAAATAAATATTCTAACAGCAGGTATATGTATGTTATATTGATGTGGTTTTATTTTATTGTTTACCTTTATTGTTATTGCTGTGTTACTGCGTCACACAGGAGGAACTATATAGTATGAATCAAAAAACAAATTTCTATATATCATTTTAGTAACTCCTTAAAGTTCAAATCTTCCAACTTGTGTGATATTATGAAGGAAGGCAACACTATGATGATTGTCATGTCATCATAACCCAAATCCATTTTAGACTCCAGAAAGAAGTATGATGTGAAACATCGTATGACAACACATATGAATGCAGCAGGTCTGAAGTGTTTGTTTCATAATCGGCTTTGGTTTTGTGTCACATGCAGAATGTTTTCTACCAATTCTTTGTGGGAAAAAAAGCTACAGAAAATTAAACCTGTAGGAGGATCAAAGAGGAGGAACAAGAGTGTGTGTGTCTGTGTCTGTGTGTGTGTGTTACAGTGCATGACTAATACCATCTCTTTTTAAAGTAATTTCTGAGAGCTCAGAGCTGAATGACAATCCTCTCACCCACTGAGCGTATGTGTATGTGTGTGTGTGGTGTTGTGTGTGTGTGGGGCCATCCCAGCAGTCACACCTGTAGACCTGGCTCAGAGGGTATTTTTGGATTTGTAGAGTAGATAAAAAAGCTGAGATTGAAGCAGAGGTGATGTTTTATATATGTGTGTGTTCATAACTGCCAAACTCTGTGTGTGTGTGTGTTGAAGTGTCATTTTTCTAAGTGGCAGTTTTCTCTCCCACACAGCCTCGACTTCATCACATTAACGCTGCTTTCAATGACCTATTTGGGATCATACACACACACACAGTACTTTATTGACATGAATAATCTGTAACGTGATCGATGATCAACATATAATAAATATTATTATAATATTATACAATGTACTATACAGGACATTAGATCATATTAAATATATCAGAAATGAATAACGTCTAATAAGACTGTATTGTCTCTTAGATTCTCATGTTTTTACTTGCGTGATTTCTTTTCATGCATTGTTGGAGGAAAATATTT